GGAAGAGGAGGAAGAGGACGAGGAGGAGGAGCAGTAGGGAGAGTAACATTAGTTGGGAGTGGTAAGAGGATGGGTACGAGCAAGTCGTAGGAGATGGGGAAGCAGCTCGCAGGAGGAGAAAGCTGAGGAAGGGGAGGAGGAGGAGGAGGAGGGGTAACATTTGTTGGGAGAAGTAAGAGGATGAATATGAGTCGTAGGAGAGGGGGAAGCAGCTGAAAGAGGAGGCAGCGGATGAAGAGAATGGACTCGGACGGAGGTAGACGGAGTAGGTAATGTGGCCAGGATGACGAGGAATCGACGATTGCCTGTGATTGGTGGCTGGATTCAGAGAAAGGGACGTGCGCGACAGGTTCTATGTTTGCATGCTAGTAGATTTTCTGAGGAAATGTGACACCGCTCCCCCACCCACACCTTCTCCTGAGTGGCTAAGAGATTGACACCGCCAGCTCTCTGTTTGTGCGAAGTGCGAGAGAGTCCGAACCTGGTCGATATGACAACCAGGTGCATCATTCTAACTTTGCCGAGCACTCGTTACACGATTGGCTCGAATTTACTTCTTTGTGAGATTGCTTTCTTGTACTTTTCCTTTTTTTTCTTTTTTTTTCACGTTGTTTTATGAGACGACCCGGCCATTATTCTTTGCACAGCACTGCGATAGAGTCGGAGTGGAAGCTCACGCTTTTTTTTGTTTTTTTAAAACAATGTTTGCTCCAATCTTTTTTTTTTTTTTTTTTTTTTAACATTGTCTGATGGACCACGGATCAGATATTTTACCTTAAGTGATCAGAAACAGATACTACACTTGATCTTAGCCAAAGGGCCGAGAAATGCTTCCCCCCTCCAATCGATCTTCGTGGGGTTCAAAGCTTCGCCCCGCCCCCCTCCCCCCCCTCCGTTTCCTAACAAGGCGTTTTTATTTTCTGAGAATGATTGTTTTTTTTTTTCTTTTTCCTGATCGTCGTGGTGGCTATGATTTGCCGTCATCTTTGCCAGGAGGACATAGGAAAAGACGTCGTCGCCACAATTTGAAGATGATCATAGCAGAAATGACTGAGTCTGAGGTGACGGCGTTCGACTCTTCGCTATCGCCCTCTGCTTCTGCTTCTGCTTCTTCTTCTTGCGCTCGGCCAGCGGTACCAGGCAACACAGTTGGGAAAATAAGGAAGCATGTTCGAGAGTTTGTGAATGCATCCTACGACGAACACAAGCAATGATTGAAGAATACGCTGAACAAGGTGGACCTCTCTCTCTCTCTCT